AGACGCCACAGCTGAAACGGATCTCAACAATTATGTCTGGATCCGCCCAGCTGCGTGAGTGACAGCTGACTTTGCCTATCTAGAGGCAGAGCCGGCTGTACCCGCCCCCTCCCTGTCCATTCCACCAGTCAGCGCTGGAGGATCGGAGCGGAGAGGGGGGAATCCAGTGCCTCCCCTGTCACGGCTCTCTGCCGTGACAGGATTGGGAAGTGAACGAACGCTGGTATGTGTTCGCTCACTTCCTGATCTACTGACCCGACCGGTGACAGTTTCATTGTCACAAGTCGGCTAGAACTATGAGGATTAGGGAAGAGCCGAACACCCCCGTGTTCGGTTCTAACTCGAACTTTCGAACATGGATGTTCTTGTCTAACAAAATACTGCTCCAGTGCACATATTGTCTTAGTCCACTCTTTGACTCTCAAAGTACCCTTCCCTACCCTTCTTGTCTTCTACAAAAGCGGGTTCAAAACATATTCCTGGGGGAACACAGCAGGATCTTGTGTCCCCCCAAATTAGGGGAAATAAACAGTCCATGTCACCCACATGATGTTGTGTCCTTTGCCAATGGTAAAAGACAGAAAATAATAACAGCTCTTGGCTCAAGTCCTATAGCATACATATGTTGGTATATAAAATATTTGGTTATAGTTTCCAAAATGTATCCAAATCCATATAAAGAATTTTATGTACATCTTGTATAGATTGCAAGCAGTTGTATCAGGGGTAGTCAAACTCCGGCCCTCCAGCTGTGGTGGAACTACAAATCCCATGAGGCAATGCAAGATTCTCACAGCCGCAGACATGACTCCCAAAGAGAGATGCATCATGGGATTTGTAGTTTTACCACAGCTGGAGGGCCGGAGTTTGGTTACCCCTGAGTTGTATGGTGGATAGCCCAGATAGCAAGGATAACAAATGCTACAAACTTGTGGCAGGGTGAAATTGTAATTTTTGTTAACTTGCTGAACACATTCCTGGCAAGTTGTAGACTTGCAGTACACTTGCAGCACAAGTTCTAGTTGACACTTTTTGAGTTTGTAGCAAATTTGCTTGGCAAGTCTACAGCAAGAGTCCTGCAGGTCTTAGCAAGAGCTCTGCAAGCTCGCTGATCTGGAGACTTGTAATGCAGACTATTGCACTATATAATGCACTATTGCAGACTTGCCAAGCTTCACCATTGTGTTGCACAATTACAGCAAGTCTGCAATAGTTTAGCAAGTCATTTTCAAACTTGCAGCTCAATTGCTTGCTACCTGGGAGGGCAAATGTGGTGACTGGATCTGTTTAAGAATTACTAAATGATTAGAAGCCCATAGCCTGGCCACAGGTTCACTGTAAAGCAAATCTCTATAAGGGCCGGGCTCTAAGGACATAGTATTTATTTTACATATTTTCACAACTATTAGTGCTGTTCTGACTAGATGACTAATATTCCAGATGCACAGTTGCTAAAATATAATCTTACATATGCAGAACAAAAAAAGTGAAAAATTACATCCAAGAATCCTAATGTGTTGGACTTATTCAAGTCATTGAAAAGACTTGATTACTTAACTTTGGTATTCCACAACTGTAAGGTTGATTGATCATGTTATCTTATCAGAAAGTCAGATTTGAATCCATTTACTGCCCATATAGCATTACTTGTGAAGAGAAGGACCTCTTATGGCTGCTTAATCATAAATTGTATAACATATGTTTAATACACTTTTACAGAAGAAAAAAGGACTTAAATAGGATTTTCACAAAATATGACTCACTACTCAATAGTTTTCAGAAAACCAGATGCCAGTTTCTCACATTTCACCTGTACCTCTACCTGAAGGAGAATATAAGATTGTGATTCATTAATTTTATATAATAACATTGTCTGATTTTGTTAAACGGTCAGCACAAAATGCAGTAACCTATGTCAACCTATTAGATACATTTTTTGTGTATTTAATTACTGTTTCCTGGAGCGTTATTGGTTGTTATGGGTACTGTACTTTGCACATTGTCTTTTTTTCAGTTTTTATTAAAGGATAATTATGAGGCGAGTGATTTTCACTCAGCCTCATAATCTGAGCCGACTTGTGACAATGAAACTGTCACAGGTCGGCTCAGTAGATCGGGAAGTAAGCGAACACATACCGTCGCTCGCTCCCTTCTCGATCTATCGCTGCAGAGAGCTGTGACTGTCACTCATGGCTCCCTGCAGGGATTCCGCCCCTCCCGGGGAGGCTAATCTGTCAGCCCGCTGGATGTGCGGTAATACTTTATGTACGGTAGCTTCGGCTACATACAGTATACCGCGCTGAGCAGGCTTAGTTTTCATTAATAGAATACATCGCTCGCTGTGATTGGCTCAAGCGTGGTATACTGTATGTAGCCGAAGCTACCGTACATACAGTATTACCACACATCCAACAATGTTGGTACTTCAGGAGTATTTCGGAACGTCATTAGTCTTAATGGACAATTAGTAACAGCACTCAGCGTGGCGCGGTGGGATCACTTGGGGGCTACTTGGATTCGTTTGACGCTATACAGATACTTGAGGCGGATTGATTGGCGTTCTCAGTACGTCCTCACATGCTCTTAAGAGTTATTTAAGTCCTAACTGTCCGCACTCGGCTTTCAATGTTGGCAGCAGATTGTTTGGGACCGCCGGGTATACCAAGGTATATTGTATTGTATACCCGGCGTATAAGACGAGCCCCGATTTTCGGGGGATGTTTTTAAGTCTAAAAACTCGTCTTATACGCCGGCAAATACGGTAGTTAGTTGGAAAATTATTGTTAAACGTTAACAATAGTAGTAGTCTACTGCCTGTATGTGACATTTCTCCTGCTACCCGTCTTTGATTTAGACATACTTTATGTTAAGATCAATGACAGTAGGGAGGTCACTAGGGGCCCATTAAAATTTTGCTATGGATCCCCATGATCTCTAGTTACACTCTTGGGTTACATGGCTAATAAATATTTCCTGGATTATGAAAAAAAGTTGCATTCTCCTTCCTATAATTATTTAGCATAACACTCCAAAGGCCGAACTATGGCCCTTGTACACCTGAGAGCTGCCCAAACATTCTATATTCAACTGACATATTCAGCCCAAATCAGGGATCCAGAGCTCAGCTTCCTCATCTTACAATCAAGCATAAAACCTGACAGGGCTTTTAAATTTTTTTACTACAAAACAAAACAAAAAAATACTTTTTGGCTATAGGTATATTTTAACCAATTGCAACCTCTCATTATCTGTCAGGACATTAACAAACATAATTGTGATTAGTCTGTTTCTCTGATTGACACTGCTTTATAATATGATTATAAGGATAATTCATAACTGGTAGAACAAAGAGATACCTAAATATATAAAAGCATGACAACGCTTTATTCACCATAAAAGTTATCCCATAAACGTAATACAATGATAGATAATTTAACTCCAAGGTGGTTACATTTAATAAGGAATATGGAGTCAAGTAATACATTACATCATATAACAGAATATAATCTAGTTTTCACTTGATGTGCATCTATGTTATCTTTGGAATATGGGATCAAATGTTCAAACAAACTGTAAATGCATAGAATATTTAATGTACATCTTTATTAATGCAAATCCAAATATCTGAACCCAAACCCTTAAACACTTTAAAAACCCTTAACGAAAAACTGTACCCATATCTTCAAAATAACAACACAGGCACCTTTAGAAATGTTTAGTAATGGCAATCTACAAACACATACTTCTAGATAATTGCAAGCTTATTATTTTTTGCATACCTTATTTTTCTTTTTCTTCCCCAGTCATCTGTCAGTGACCATTTTAGCTAAGGGCAGAATGCTATATCTCCCTTTACTCAATGAAACTCTGGCACATGTGATTAGGATATGTGACCATACACATTGGGGTCTATTCACGATGCAGCCGAAGGATCTAGCCGTAGCTTCGGCTGATCCTTCGGCTAGCTTCGGCCCCAGGACCCCTTCTGTAGAACTGAAGAGCTGCTGTACGGGCTATTCACAATATTCTATTCACGCTATTCGCAATCGGCTGAGCCGCGCTGAAAGCCGAAGCTGGCTAAGCGGCTGGCCGACAGCCTGCTTCTGACAGCTGGGCGGAGCCAGCCATGATCTTACGGCTGGCTCTGGTCACTTGCAGAGAGATCAGCGTTCCTGGTTACCAGCTAACCAGGACACTGATCTCCAGACAGCAAACTCTCCTGGGCACTCTGGGAGTCTCCCGCTCCTGGCCGCCAAGGAGAGAAACACTGCTTTTTCTTTTGACAAGGAGCTGTGTCAGAATAGAAAAAATAAATATTTGCCCATAGGATTGCACCCGCCCTCTGCTGATGGACCTGATGGAGAACTGCAGCAGAGGGCGGGTGCAATGGTAGTTTACTATTGGCTATTACAAATTGAAATAGCCAATAGGAATCTAGCAATGCAATCCTATGGGCAAAATTTCTTTTTTTTTTTTTTATTCTGACACGTGTCAGAAAAAAGAAAATAAAAGGAAAAATCAGTGTTTCTCTCCTGGGTGGCCAGGAGCGGGAGACTCCCAGAGCACCCGGGAGAGTTTTTTTTCTTCTTTTTTTTTGACGGCAGCAGAACCGCCGGCCAATAGAAAACTGTTGGACGGAGCTAGCTGTCATTGCTAGCTCCGCACAATAGTTTTCTATTTATTTTTTTAAACTATTTTTCTGTTCGGTCCCTCTGAGGGACCGAGCAGAACAGCCAAGCCGAATGCCGCTCAGCGGCATTGGGCTATTCACTCACTGCTGTTCGGCATGTATAAGAATAGTCTGAACAGCAGCTAGTAGCCTGCCGGAGGTTCGATTTAGCCGATCCAGATGTTGGATCGGCTGAGTCGAACTCCTCCTGGACTTCGGGTGGGCCAAACATGCTGAGCAGGCTGAGCAGTAGTAAAATAGCATTGCACCCGCCCTCTGCGAATGGACCTGATGGAGAACTGCAGCAGAGGGCGGGTGCACTGCTAGTTTACTATTAGCTATTGCAAATTGAAATAGCCAATAGGAATCTAGCAATGCAATCCTATGGGCAAAATGTAAAAACATTTTTTGGTTCTACTGAACCGAAGGGGTCCTGGGGCCGAAGCTAGCCAAAGGATCGGCCAAAGCTACGGCGAGATCATTCGGCTGCTTCGTGAATAGACCCCCAGATGTGATATATATTTCCAATTGATATTTGTAAGGTCTTTTTCCTAAAAGTAGTTTGCACTCTTACTGAGAGACACCGTAATTATAATACAGTTAACCTTCTTGTAAGGAATCTATAAGTCCAAAACCCTCATTCAACATGCCAATAAGCATAGAGGTATTTGTCAAACTGGCTGGTTACATAACACTTCCATGAGTGGTAGAAAGGCCCTATGTATGTACCCAAATATACGTGTACTGTGTGTCTTGGGGAGCAGCTGCTTCTGCTCCCTGTTGCACACACACCTTACACAGTCTTGTTGTGGGTATGATCATATCCATCACTCACATGGCATCGAATTCATATCAAGCCGACAGAGAGAGAGACAGAGAGAGAGAGAGAGAGAGATATGCAATGAAGAGTTAGCCAATTAAACATTGCAAATGACGTAATTACTGTATGTCGCGGCTATACAGGTTATATAGATTATATAGGATATACAGTATATATAGTATGCAGTGTATATACTGTATAAATAAAAAACATTGGACAGCAATTAAAATAAATATAAAGTAGATTAAAACACGATCTGTACAATGTCACGCTCTGTCCTGGTATCCATTGTATAAGTTCTACAATTTAATTTCCATATAAGCATGCTGGTAATATCTGATGAACTGGCTGTCAGCCTTCCCTTATTATACTGGGAAGTTATAAGGTTCCATTCTTTTTGAGTTAGCTCAAGCTGATTTACAGTCCTCTTACTCTGTCTGCTTTGTAGTTCAGATCAGGCAAGACAACATTACACTGTGTAAGCTATCTGGCTTTTGATTATAGTAACTATGAATGCTTTCTTGGCAATAAACCCTATTCTTACAACCTTTAATACTTATTTATTACCTGCTAAGTTTGTTAACTATGAATGCCGCCTAGCAGGCAGACTTAACCATCTGCCGGCATTCACAAGATAAAGCTATGTGATTTTTGTTTCTTTTTTTATTAGGTAATATTACATGCTTTGCTTCTGCTATACTAGTTAAAAAAATATTGTGTCAACTATGAAAATGCACTTTTCCTTGAACGTTGTGCTTTTCTAAGCCTTATTAGGTTGCATCTAAGAAACGTAAGATGGCTTATGGCACATACAGTATCCCTTCTTTATACCTCTATGGAACAGTTGAAACTTTGAAAGGAAACATTCAGTATTTGTATCTGGAAATTGCATCATGTGATATATGCCCATTTGCTCTTGGATTACCAACACAGGAGGTGATTCATTACCACACTGGATAAACACCTTTGTGCTTGTCCACCCATCCTCATGCTTCTTCTCTTTTTCAGAAGACTAAAATAGACCCAGTTATTATTGCTGCGTGAAACTGATGGGGTACCATGTTTCCTGCTGCAATTAGAAGGAGTTTATTTGCAATAGAAAAATGAAAGGCTAATTATGTGTGTATAAATTTTAAATTTCCCAAATGATCCCTTTGGATGCATGTAATAACAAAGACTATAGATTGTACAAAGGCTGTTCTTGAGTTTCATGGGTCATTTTCTTGCCCTGGAGAGTAAGATTATTTGACAGTTCTAATTGTGTTTTTTCTTAGTTTTACTTATAGTATAAATGAAAACATTCTCTTGAATTGGGTTATTGTCAAGACTTTTAATGATCGGTATAAGCTGTTTATACTTCACTTAAAAGTAGAAGATCCAGCCACTGAAACTGATAGATAACACATTTTTGTTTTCACGTAAGTCTAAGGTGCCTATTCATAAAGCAGTGAATGCAACATGCACCAATCAATCACTGCAATTTAAAACACATGCGCCAGGAAGATTCGCCTGCAGCTAATAATTGTTGAATGTCACATACAGTGAATAGTATACCAAGAGTCTTATTTCAACATTTTTTCCCCTACAGAGCTCTCGTACAGCTCGTTCGGAAGAAGATCACGATACATTATGGGATGCTTGGGGATCATGGAGTGAATGTTCAAGGACATGTGGTGGTGGAGCTTCATATTCTCTAAGGAGATGCCTTAGTAGCAAGTAAGTTGTAATCATTGCTTATTTTTTTACTTTTTTTAATTTTATTATTATTATTATTATTATACAGGATTTAATTTAATACTACTTTTTTCTAAACTGAACTCCAGCAGATAGATAAGACACCAATTTATATAGATTTGTAATCATCAATAAATCCTTACATGTATTTTGTTTAATAGAAGCAGTGTAAGTACCTGAATTTGACTTGGTATCAGCCTCTTGTGGTACCTGTACAGCAGCACTCAGACTTGGGGTAAGGGGAAGCAGCAGACGAGTCAATAAGCACAACAGTGCAAGGAACATGCTGATAGGTGGAGAGGGCAGAGTGACAGGGAAATTAGTTAATTAGTCTGCTGTTCCTTTTATAGTCCAATCACAGGCTGTGGATAAGGAGGAGAACTGTAAGTGTTAGTGAACTGCGGCAGAGAAAGATCAGGTCTCCTTTTCTGCCAGACATGGCTGTGTGGTGTCATAGAGCTTTGTAAATGTCAAAACTGGATGGGCAAAAATACAAATCCATTGATAGGTTAAAAAAAAAGCTTCCTTTTTTTTCCATTTGTGAATTTAGCTGTTTCCTTTGAATTCAGCTTTAACCTTTACATAATACAGGTAAACAAACATCTGTGACACAAACAGACTTATTCAGAAAAATAATGCAGTTTTAGGTCTTATTTTGCCCTTTGTTTTTTTTTTAAACTGTATATATTTTTATTGCGCACATGATTGGCTCCTAAACACACAATGTAACGAAGCTTACCCTAGTAAAGAAGTAGTAGCTTCTTCCATAAGTTCTTAATTTCTGCTTACACCAATAAGACTTTCATCGTAATGTGTAAATAATGTATGAATGAAAAAGAAATGAAGAGAAAGAAAAATGTAAATAAATATTCACAGAAAATACTGTATATTACATACAACAGAAATAAGTAACAGTAAAAAAAAAAAAAAAAGTGTAGTCACAGCACAGATTCACTTGAAGAATATGGGAAAAGTAAATACACCCCATGAAAGTTGTTGATGTTTTCCACATATTTGAACAAGCAAATATTAGCTCTTTATTCAAACAGCATCTACAGATTAAAGGTATATACTTGAATGTAAACAAGGAAATTTTGCCTTTTTAATTATTTATTCAACAAAAATACCAAGAGATGTAAAAAGTAAGTGCACTGTTTACCTCAGAAGCTAATATTGCCCCCTTTAACAGAAATTACTTCTTTTAGTCATCTTGCATAACTTCGCACCTGCTTCTTACATCAGCTCGGTGACAATTTTTACCTCTGCTGTATACAAAATTAAATTAGTTGCAATGTTTCTGCATTTCTTTGCATGGAACTTCCTGTTTCAAACCCCTGCTCCCCCACCACACCGAATTTAAATGGCATTCAAATCAGGAGCAGACCAGTCTATTAACCCCCCCATTTTTTATTTTTTTTTGCTATTCTTTTCTGGATTTGCTAGTGTGCTTTAACTTTAACTTTTAAAGTTAGTTGATTTGATTACTGCAAGCTGCCAGGGTCCTAAAACAGCAAAGCAATTCCAAATCATAACAATGCCAACACTATGGTTCACTGTGGGTATGAGGTTCTTCTCCAGAAGTGCTGGGTTCATTTTGAGCCAAATGTGTCTACTGTTATTGTCTACTGTTATTGTGGCCGAATTTTTGAGTCATCAGTTCAGGGCACATTGCTTCTAAAGACCTGGTCTTGCCTATGTGTTAAAGGGCAAACTGTAGTCTTGAACACCTAGTCTCATGGCCTGTGTGTCTCCTCTCCACAAATCTGAGGGTCTGAATCAGATTAGAGCGACAGTCTTTACATTTTTTTTGTTTAGTATTTTTGTTTCTAAACTTGTGTTTTAGATTTACTGTTTTTCATGGACTGGAAAGGTTTTGCCATGCAAGGTTATTTGGCAATGCTTTTTCTATGTTGAAACACAGATACCATGTACCTCCTTCATAATGCTGACATTTGTATATAAAAGCATGAAAATGATATTAATTCCACACGCCACTGATTCTGAGATGTAAAACTGATGGTTTCACAGAACAAATGCATGAATATCAGCCTTAACTCATTTGTCCTTTCTTGAACTTGGTTACAACCATCTATTTTCTCCTTCACTTTGCTAGAAATGTTAAAACTGTCTGCACATTTCTGCATATTCTTGCTGTGGGTTACCTGCAGGTTTGCCAGTATTCCCCTGTATGTACAGACGTATCTAATTTGTAAAAGTCTGTTGTTAATAAAATTCAGTTAGTACCTTACCTGCATTTAATTATACACACAACATGTCTGTGATGGTCCTCATTTATCCAGGTCATGGTATAACTCCTAGTAGTCACATTCAACTGGATTTGTTTGGTAATGTTAAAGATGTTTCATAGCTTATCCAAGCCAATTCTTCAGTTCTAATGAGGTTCCGGAAAATACCTCAGCATTTATATCCACACAGGTAGCACAGGAACCTTAAATAATCACTATGAAATGGCAGATGTTTTTGTCCAAGAGCAGGATGGGACATGTGAAATTTGTAGAACCACCCTGTACAACCGATACATAATCTCATCCTTGGTGTCAGGAAGGCTTCATATGTGTTAACCCTTCTATTTATATGGCTGGAAATGTGAATTGCAAGAGTGGAAAAGGCTTAAAGGGGTATACTTAAATAAAACCTGAGCCTACTCTGCGTCAAAATGGTTAACAGAGTGCAGGGGTCAGGAGTAATTATTACACAGAATGTAGAGGTCAAAAGTAAGTTAGAGGGTGTAGTAATAAAATAAACCCCAGCATTAGTAGTGATAAGAATACAGTGCAGGTACAGACACTGGGATCTGTGTGTGAACATAAAGGGAAAGCATTCAGCCCAAAACTCACGTTTGCTTCTCTGAGGAATCGGTATTCATGTTTTCAAAGCTGCCATTTTCAAGAGAACTGATGAAGTCAGAGAGCAGAAATGACAATGCTGCGTATATATATAATACAACATTCAGAAAGGAAAAAAACAGATACACAAGTACTTTCAAAACAGAAATCCTGTTTCCTGTCAGTGGGTGTCCTCAGGAATTTTCCCACCTGGAACTGTAGCAGAGAATGGCAAGCTTATCACTGACAGGCAATCTGGCAAAACAGCACATTCCATCCTGCTGCACGTGCCCACCTGCGTCCTAGTAACCAAGGACACTAGATGGCAAGAACCATCTACATCCTAACATTCAAGGGCACAGGTGTATAAATCAAAATTACATGGCTCCACAGCAACATTTATGCGGGGCCCTCTCCCCCAACTGATATTTACTGATACTGATATTTAAGGTATCAGGTATTTTTTATTGACATTTTACAGGTTTACAAAGTGCAAACACCCACCTACCATATCACAATCCCTGATGACAATGAACATTAGACATGTCTCTGTCTTCGGTTCAAAGGTACAAGAGATGTAAAACTATTATTCCTGTTACATTGCATTGTCAATATATTATAAATCTAATCCTTTATTAACAGGTTCCTGTTCAGACACACTGGCAGTCATTTTGGTGTCACCCGCTCTGAGAAGTCGGGCACTCGGTCATGGACCGAGTGCCAGACAGCTGCAGGAGATCCGACGGTATACCTAGTCCCCTCCTCTCTTTGCTGCCGTCCATCACCAAGATGGCCGCCAGCAGTGAAGTGCGCATGACGTCATTATGCGCTGTTATAATGACGTCACCTGCATATGTAATGACGTGTAGGCCGTGTGACATGTGGCGGCCACACCCTGTATGGGGACCCCCCTGGGAATGAGTACATGAGGAAAGGAAGCGGTGAAACAGTATTTCATGGAAGAAAATGCCATCCGGTTAAGATTTAGATCTCCTTTAATATTAATGGATGTTAACTAATCTAAAGAGACACAGACTTTAATTTATTCAAATGAAAACTTGTTTCATGCACGCTAAAGTCAGCTACAAAGCTGAATGGGAAAAAAAATTAGTTTAAAACTGTTTTAGTAAGAGAAGCCTAATCATCCTGACACTAATTCATGGGAGATGCCTTTTGCACAAATGTGATAAATTAACCAGTTTCTGTCCAGTTCAAAAGCCATTGTGTGCTTGAGTGAAGAAAGGTCATTTGTTAATCTGTGGGTGGGTTCATCAGATCACGGTCACATGTGACATCTCAAAAGCTAACATAATCCTAACATGGTCATTACACAGGATGCTTATACCCTGACACAAGATCTCTTCTGAGAATTAAATGGTTCAAGTACATCCATTCACAAGGTTATGTTAATTAGTTCTCATTCACTTTGATGCATGACAGTCCATGGTTTACAACAGTCACATTCCTTGTATCCAATTTAAGGCACCTTTTAAATCTGAGGTTCTTTTTTTCTGGGATAACTATAAAACAATATATTTCTTCTGTTCTGACACTACCACGCTAATATATTGTTGCATTTAAGAATCAGAACAAATGCGTTCATTGTTCCGAAATTTGAACTTGAGGTCATTTTACACAACCAGTTGGATTCTACATTTCCTCCTAACCAAGAGGCATATCTTCCAACACAGAAAAAATTCAAGATGGGATAAAATAAACACATGATCAAGGTTAGGGTCTTTTAAACTCTTCTCCCATGGTTTTGTGACTTTTGATCAATGCAGACTATTTCTTTCTGTTCATGTTCATGTTATCCACATGTCATGGCACATACTAATGCTGCACTCACATTATATTTATTCCCATCTTCCCATGTGTCTGTGTCTAAATAAGTCAAATTATGTTCTTAAACAGGATAAAACTAAGCAAAAGGATATGAACCAAGGATCCATATTAATGGTGTGAATTGAAAATATATAATACTTTTTGCATCCATTTCTTTCCAATACTCTAATTAATATCAAATTTCCAGAGCTTTCAGATGTTGTTTTCTTTGGAAATATGGATATGTTTGCATTCAAAAGTGCTAAGCTTTCGTGGTGAGGAAAACAGAGTGAGGTTTAAACCTCTGCAGGA